TGGGGCACAGCCTTTTCCATTGAGGCTGTAAGAGTCTTCAGCACAAAGACTCCATCCTATTCAGGCTCTGTTCTTCTTTCCAGAACCTAACACCATCCCACACAAAGGCATTCTGTTGAGTGGAATCGGATGTTTGCTGTTCTTTCTTTTGGTTGTGAGAACCCTAAACATCTGCCTATGAAAACATCTGGGTTCCCGTATCCCATTTTCAGCCTTTCTTTGGGTTTATCTCAAAGAGGATGAGGTGGTTGGATGGCATCACTGACTCAGTGGACATGCGTTTGAGCAAACTCCAGGAGATAGTGAAGGACAGAGAAGCCTAGCGTACTGCACTCCATGGAGTCACAAAGGCTCGGACATGACTTAGAGACTGAACAGCCACACCACAAAGGAGAAAGTTCTGGTGGTGGTTTGTGAATATAGCTTTGCAGTATCATTTTGTCTTAAGGTGTTCTATTTTCAATACCAATTTCAAGCAGAAAGTTACTTAAATTGTTAGCCGATTATCCTAGACATACTAATATTGAGCGGTCAGGCTCCCCTCTCTGGCTACTGCCCGCACTTCCACAAAGAGTTGAGTCTCCACTTTCTCAGCTCTGGTGCATTCACTCCTGCAGCCATTGCGTGATGCCTTCTGATCCCAGGGCTCCCACCACCCCTCCTGCATCTTCTGTGTTGCTGAATCCAGTGGGCAGTTTCCAGTTCTGGCTTTACTCGATCTGGCGGCAGCATTCCACATATACACTCTCTGTCTCAAACCACTCCCTCTGCACACTCCCCCCCAGGAGCATGCCCTCCGATTTTCCTCCCCACTGGCCGTTCCTCCCCGGTTCACTTCTCCAATTCCCCCTCTTCCATCAGACCTTTCACTCTTGCATGTCCTCACATCTTCTCACTCTACATGCTCTCCTGAGGTAACCTTTCAGTCCTGTGGTTTCAAATATCACTTGTACACCAGTGACCAAAAACTAAACTGCATTTCAGCAAATCTAAGGCACATGTGATGTCAGATGCACCGAGATTTTATGTAAAGGAAAAAAAAAATGCTGCCAATGAAATGCCACAGTGTCTTCTTACCATATTAATCTTAAGATGCATTCCGCTTTCAGAAATGTCAGAATGTGAAAAATGTACACCCAGTAGTACACCCAAGAGTACACCCAATAATGATATAATGGGATATATCACATTGATATACTGATATAAGGTGATATCACATAATGATGTAATATCTTTTGTGTGGATGAACTGCCATTTGCAGAGCACAGATACCTAGTGTGCCTTGAGCATGGTGTCCGCAGGAACGTGCAAATGAATGGTGATAACTTTGTCTTAAGGAAAGCTGGTAGTTTCTTAAAGGTCATCATTTCTCCAAGTATGAAAGAGGCCTTTTTACCATACAGTTTACTTATATGCATAGAGGAGGTAGACTTGAGCTCGCCGTGCAGTGAGGCAGAGTTATGGAGCCATTGGGTCTTCATGACGGCATCAGCACAATTGAGGTATATTTCACTTGGTCTAGAATTGACTGACTCTAGCATCACGGTCAAGACTGTTCTGGCTGTCTTAGTGTAAACCATGCAGTGATCCCTGAGCAGTGCTGTCCGTCTTCACAGAATTTCTCAGGCAACGGAATTTTAATTTTTATTACTCATTTCTTCTTATTACATCATTGGGAAACCATGTTGATGGTGTTTCCCTCATCTTTTTTTTTTTATTTCCTCCCTCTACTTCAGAATTACTTTTGACAGCTGTGAGACCTGTGAGAACGATGGCTATATCTTGAAATGTAATTTTCCTGCAGCAGCATCCAAAATTAACAAAAAGACATGGAAAAATCTCATTGAGTGTTCTAATCTACCACCATCTGTGAACCTTGTTCTGTTCCACTGAGAGTTTTCTAAAAATAATTTAAGTGGTATATCTTTACTTCTATAGGGAAAATAATTCATACTAGATGCTTTGACTTTAAAATATTATCTTATGGTCACTATGGTTACCCTAATAAAGTTTTGTTTCATGCAGAGAAAATTATTTATGTTCCATTTTTTGATATTGTTAATTGGTATAACACCCTCTGGTTTGTTGTTTGTTTTAGTTGCTCAGTCTGGTCTGACTCTTTTGAGACCCCATGGATTGTAGCCCACTAGGCTCCTCTGTCCATGAGATTTCCCAGGCAAGAATACTGGAGTGGGTTGCCATTTCCTTCTCCAGGGAGCTTCCCAGTCTAGGGATCCAACCCATGTCTCCTTCACTGGCAGGCGGATTCTTTACCTCTGAGCCACCAGGAAAGCTCATATCACCCCTGGACCTCTGGTTCATTTAGCTAGGCACATATCAGTATGCAACTGAGGTTTTTCCCCCCATGGAAGTGTCCTACTATATCTCCTTGCTCTTCTCCTCCCACTGTCTCTTCCATGATATCTTTCTCACAGGCAGTTCAAAGTAGAATATTTAAGGACAAAAGTTTAAATACCATAATCCAATCACATGGGAATTGAAAAATATTCTCTTTAAAAACTCTTGGATCAGAGAAGAAATAAAGACTGTAGTTATAAACTACCTAGAAAATAAGAAGAATGATACTATTACAAACAAAACTCATAAGATGCTTGCCAAAGATTTGCTTGAAGGAAAATGATTGGACTTGAGGCTTGTTATTAAACAAAAAGAATGAAAATTAATGAGCTTATCAAATCTGCGGATTTAAAAATTAACAAAGGAAAACCACATAATATACTCAAAAAAGCGTGTTAAAACATTTATTAGCAAACACAAGCATAAATGAATGGTTGGAAAAGAGAAAAGTTAACTTCATAAATCCAAAAACCTGTTACTTGGAAGAAAAACCTTTGCATACCTAATTACAAAAATGTAAGAACCTAGTTTACAATATTAGGAATCAGAAAAAGGTTGAGGAGAGAGGGATTTGCCCACAGACAAGAATGAAAAGATTATAAGAAATTGAAAATTAGCAGTAAGAAGATAATTTGAAAAAAATAGATGTCAAAATGAGATTTAGTTAAAAAAAAAAGTAGAAAACATTGAGTGGGTCTATAACTGAACAAAAAGTTGGAAGAATTATTAATTCTTTCTGTATAAAGTGTCTGTATTTGTTTCAAATACTAAATAATTTGTATGTTGAAAGCTTCCTAATTAATGTAATCATAATTGATTTCACCTGATAAAAGTGGCACAAATAGGCTAATGTAGACCAATGTTTCTTAAAAGCATAGATGCAGAAAAACCAAAAAGGAAATTATAGCAGATAAAATATAAAGAATATTAAAACAGTAATACATGGATTCCAAGTTGGCCATATACCAAGAATCCAAGACTTAAGGGTTAAGAAAATCCATTACTCTTATTGATAGCATCAGACTAAACAAAGCAAATATTCCTCCAAAGCATTGATGTTCATTTCTAATTTTCAAAAATCAGCACTCATTAAACTAGGAACAGGTCACTTCCATGATGTGCTAGTATTTTTAAAAAATCAACATCAAATTCAGTGGTGAAATATAGGAAGTGTTTTCATTAAAAACAGGTGTGCACATGAAAAGATGTTAGCATCATTAACCACTAGGGAAATGCAAGTAAAAAATCACAAAATACCGTCTCATACCTACTCAGATGGCTATGATCAAAAAAAGTTTATAGCAAGTGTTGGCAAAGACCCAGAGTAGTCAAAACCCTCAAGGAGTGGTGGTGGGAGTGTAAAATGGTACAGCCACTTTGTATTTGGAAAATAGTCTGGGAATTCTGCAAAAGGTTAAACAAAGAGTTACATATGACCTGGCACAATTCCATTCCTAGGTATATATACACCCAAGAAAAATGAAACCTTGTCCTCATAAAAACGTGTATGTGAAAAAAAACTTGTGTAAGAATGTTCATAGTGGCAATTTTAATAATAACCAAAAAGTAGAAACAACCCTAATGTCCATCAGCTGACAAATAAAATGTGGTATATACATGTAATGGAACATGTGTGGGGTAGTAAAAATAAATGAAGTACTGACATATTCTATAAATGGATGAACTTTGATTGAAACATGGATTGAAAACATGATGCTAAGTGAAATGAACCAGTCACGAGTACAGCATACTGATTTGAGAGGTGAGGATTGAGCCAGTGTCTGTGTGTAGATGGTTAATCCTTGGCAGTAGTAAGTAGCACTGCTTAGCCCTGCCGTCATTGCTGGAATGTTCTCTGGGTGTTTGAGGTGGCTGCCTTATTGGGGTTGTCATTGTGTGGGTTTTCACTTGCCCTGTAGTCACTCTCTTGTCATTTCCTGTATGTTTCCTATTGGAATGATTCTGCTGCACGTATTCTTGAAATTGCCCTATCTTTCAGAGGTGTGTGCTTGGTAAAAATTGTTTGCAGAAGTCTTATCTGACAGTTTGAACTGTAGTTCAGGGGTAAGAATTCTATTTAGTAGAAAGATTTTATTATAGATATTAGCATCTTCATTTGGTAAATTTTCTTGGGGAGCATACAGAACATTCCTGTGGTACTTTTTGCTACTGTATGTATGTTTGTATTCCTGCTAGTTCATATGGGAGCAGACAATCTTGGGGCCACTTCCACAATGGAGAAATGCATAGGAAAATACAGTTTTCTTTTTAATAGAATGCAATTCATATATAGTTAACATGTAAACAAAGAACTTTCATGTGTTACTTCCTGCCTTAAATTAGAATTATATAATTAAAGTAAAAATATTGACCTCTTTAAAACTCAGGGTATTCTTAAAAAATAGGGTGTGTGAATCTTTTGTGGTATGTTTAAGGTTGCATTTAAGGAGTTGGTGAATTTGTATCTTTTGATACACAGACCTTTGTGAGATCTAAAGCTTAAGGGGGCAAGTTTTTGTCTTTTGTTTTTGGAAGGATCTTATTCAAAGTCATATCTGGATTAAGCAGGAGATTACCTGATGACTGTTGTTTGTGACCAGCTCTTTTGCTTTACGATAACCCTGTCAAACTGATCTCCCTAGGTTGAAAACGTCCGCTTGGTAGATCGAATATCTTCTAAAAAAGCAGCCCTCGGTACTTTGTATTTGACTGCCACTCACGTCATATTTGTGGAAACCGCACCTGATGCAAGGAAAGAAACATGGGTATGCAGTCCTTATTTTTGGCTTTTTGTGTTTTCCATTGTTTGAAGTAACAAGTTTTGATTCGGTTTTGTCTGTTCTCAAGGTGAGGAGGGTGGGACTTGCAGGGGTTGGGTGTTCAAAGCACTCTTTTTGGAATGTGAGCACTGCCTTTTTTGGTAAAGGGTCATGTCCACTTGATCTCTTTACTCAGTTTAAATACTGATGATTTGAACATCATCAAAGAGAGAGAGAGGAATAGCCAGAGGTGTAAGTGCTTCGTGTCACAGCTGACAAGTAGAGATTCAATAATGTTACTATACCAGATACAGCGTTTACACAGTGATTTGCAACCTGCTTCCTTCGTAGCATCCTGTGGTGCAGGCCATTTAGTCATTATGTTGTCTACAATTTTCTCATAATTTAAAAAAGAGAAAGTCTAGGGAAGAGTCCTATTATCAGGTATTTCTGCTACATAATAATGAGACCGTTAGAAGGTCCTTATTTTAAGAGAGCTGCCCAATCATGGCATTAGGACCAGAACCAGAATCTGTGGATTGTAGATTCTGCCTTTTCTGTAGGCTTGATCTTTGCAGCAGAAGGTGGCCCGCCCTACTTAGTGGAGAGGAATTTAAAGAATGAAGCGTTGCCACTGAGGACCGAGCAGAGACCCTCCTGAAAGCCAGAGCACTTCAGCATGGTTTCCTTTTAAATAAATCTCTTCTGCAGCCTGCCTGACCACCAACAGCTTAGAAAACAACCATCTCAAGTTGCTGTTGAACTCAAGCATTCCATGTGGAATTAAGGAGCATGGTGGCACCTCCCAGCGGAACCGTCTCTAACTTTTGTTGATTGCAAGGTTTATTTTACTAACTTCTCATGACCTTATTTAATTTTAGCTACCCAGTGCATTTCAACCTTTGACGACCCAAATGTTCCCTTACCTGGAGCTGTGCAGAATTCTAGGCTGAAGGGTTTGCTTCGTATAATGAACTTGACTATCAGAAAGCTTGGCACTGAAAAATAAAATGATGAATTCAGACAGCTGGTTCTTACCCCCAAACATACCAGTTCCTGTCAACTGAGTGCAAGCCAGCTGAAGGTCAAGGGTGTTTCTTCTCTCTATGTGTGGCTCAGAGACTGTTACCAAATCACAAGGCTTTGTGCCCAATGCACAGTGAGGCCCATCAGTAGTAAAACACTAGCTTTTGGAACAGAGAAAGGATTACAGGTTTATACAAGGAGACGGGTGGCTCATGCCCTAAGAACTCCAAAGTTACTGAAAGCTTTCAGCAAGCCCCTTTAAAAGCAAAAGGTGAGGGTTGGGTGTGGTTAGTTGTTGCAGACTTCTTGGGGTCAGACCCTTTGCTCTTGAGGTCAGGTCATGGTCAGGTAACCATGTTCCTATAAATCTCTACCAAACGAATGTTATTCTCCATCCTGACAAGAAAGGGCAAGGTCCCAGGGCACAACTCTCACCCTCCAAGGTCCCATTCCTGGCTAAGAGAAGGCCAGAGCTCAGCTGGCAGCTCCATCAGGGCCAGGTTCCCACACCCTGCCCAGCTGTCCTCCCTAAGGGAGCCAGGCACCTAATCCAGCTGCCCATCGGTCTCCTCCAGCCGCCCAAATGGAGGGAGACCAGGTTTCACAGACTATGACCCAGACAGACGGCCACTGGTAGTGGGTCACAGAGACAGGGATGGGGGAGAGGTCCGCCGCTCCTCAAGGCCTGGGCCATGACTAGTGGAGGTTAGTCAGAGCTCTGGAGCCCCGCAGGACATCGTCCCCAGTCTGTTCCCTGGCCCCCCCGGCTCAGCCACTGGCTCAAGGCTGGGTGAGCTGGAGGGCCTCCAGGAGAAGGCCTGACTCTACCTCTTAACTCACTCTCCACCTGACGACCACCTCACCACCAACCCTTGAGCTGAGTCACTTCCTCCTGCGTCCCTCATTGTCAGTTACCAGTGGGCGGGGCCCGCTGCAGCACTGACCAATAGCTGAGCAGGACCTTATTGACAACCGACCAATGGCTGAGCCAGGCCTGTTGCCTAGTAACAGGGTGCAGGAAGAATAAGGCCCAGCAATGGCTGCCTGCTAAGAGCTGTGCTCCCTCTGCTCTGTTACAAGACCTGTTGCTTTCTGTCCTATGTACCTGTTATCTGTGCTTAGTTTACCCACATTAACTTCTGGCGGTAGATTCTCCACAGTCAGATCGCCACCATCGAGAAACAGGCAACGACAGCTACCGGGTGCCCTCTACTGATTCGCTGCAAGAACTTTCAGCTCTTACAGCTCGTCATCCCGCAGGAAAGGGACTGCCACGACGTGTACATCTCTCTCATCCGCCTCGCGAGGCCAGGTAGGGCAGAGCGGCCTGGCATTCAGCGTGGACTCACGCTTAAGAAAGTCACAGGTCATGTTGAAGAAATGTCGATAATGCTTCTTAATTATAGTGCTTTAGAGATTATACGTTAGCCCAGCCTTCAGATGGGGGCTTCCTTGGTGGCTCAGATGGTGAAGAATCCACCTGCCAATGCAGGAGGTGTGGGTTTAATCCCTGGGTCAGGAAGATGTCCTGGAGAAGGAAATGGCAACCCACTTTAGTATTCTTGCTTGGGAAATCCCATGGACATAGGAGCCTGGCGGGCAACAGTCCGTGGGATCCCAAAAGAGTTGGACACGACTGAGTGACTAAGCAACATCAAGCCTTCAGATGAGGCCAAGAAATCTGACTGATTTAGTTTCTGTCTTTGGGGGCCTCTGTCTGAGTTACTTACTGTGTGAGCCTCTTTCATTATTCATAGTATTTATCTTGGAGGGAGGTTATCGTTGCGCTTTACTTTTGGGATGAAATCATCCCAAAATGTGGTAATTGAGCCACCTTGATTGAAGCCTCCGACAAAACCCACAAATTGTTTTGTGTCAAAAACATATCAATGGTCTAGTGCAGTTTTACCTGTGTGGGAGCTTTTAAGTTTTGGTTTCTGTTGCTTTTTGACCTAATATGTTTTTCCCAAGGTTGGCATCAGTGACTGTTCTAGGCATGTATATGTTGATTCTCCTACACAAAACCTTCTTAGGTTTTGTAAGAAGAATGGCTGATTTGAAAAATGTATGCTTTCAGTTACTGTCTGGTAGTGTATCCCCCATCTTAGGATCTTCAGACTTACAGCTTTTTATGCTATAAACCTAAGACATTTACAGCTTACTATGCTATAAATGTAAGAAACTCTATACAAGTGTTTCTTGTGTGTGTGGCTTGTATGGACCCTGGGGTTCTTTTGCTAAGTGAAAGTACAGTGAAAAGAGATCATTTGTATAAACAGTACCATCCACAGTAGTGTTCACCCAGAAGTCATTAATAAGGGAAATAGGACATGTGCTTATAGTTATTTTGTTGTTGTTGTTCAGTCACTAAGAGTTGTGTCTGATTCTTTGCAACCCTATAAACTATAGCTTGCCATGCTTCCCTGTCCTTCACTATCTCCTGGAGTTTGCTTACATTCATGTCCATTGAGTCAGTGATGTCATCCAACCATCTCACCCTCTGTCGCCCTTTCTTCTCCTGCCCTCAATCTTTCCCAGCATCAGGGCCTTTCCCAATGAATCGGTTCTTTGCATCAGGTGGTCAAAGTTTAGAGCTTCAGCATCAGTCCTTCCAGTGAATATTCAGTTACTTTACTGAATAGATACTTTACTAAATGCTTTTTGGTTCAGGGCAAAAAGTTTGATTGTAAACTCTTCAAAGCATTTGGTTGGGTCCTCAGATTCTTATGATACGCAGGGACCACATTGTCTGTTGAGAGCCAGGAGCTGAAGTTATGTGATGGGAGGGTTGCCAGGGAGCTGTCAGAATCTGATCACTTAGACTTGACTTCGCTTCCCTTTCAAGTCAGCCCACTGAGGCTTTTTTATCTCTCTGTGTTGAAAAGAACTGCAGAGTTAGCCAGAAAAGCAGTTGAACTTTTTGGAGGGCGCACTATAATTGGAACAGAAGTTCTGGGAAGATGTACGTTAGGCTGTGTGTGGCAGGGAATGCGAGGGGGATTGTGCGCCAGCAGTTTCTGTGTCACTGATTAATGGATGTCCTGCATAATACATGTGCCCTGGCCGGATTAACGGGATTTAGGAATAGCCCAGAGAACTGGGAAAGGCCTGAGTGGAAGAGTCCATCTTGGTGGCGATGAGAGCCCTGGCCTCAGATAACAGCGAGCTCCCAGATTTACATTGTGAGGGTCCCCAGGGAGGAAACCCGCTGTGTTTCCCCTCCGTTTAAAAATATACACTTTTTCTTAAAGATGTAGTTTTGGGAGTTCGGTATTAGCCAGAGACCAAAGAAGGAGACTATAGTAATTAATTGAATTAAAGCTTGGAAGATTTTTTTTTTAAAGCCACCAGCATTGTGAAACACTGGAATTAGAAATGCCAGTTTATGTAAAACATGGTACTTTAATGAGTGTGGAAAGAGGAACTAGAACCCAGGCAGCTTCACAGTTTAATGCTAAAGGTGAGGCTAAAATTAGGACATATTATAGCCCAACCTTGGAAGTAGGGATTTGAATCTGGGTGGAGGTGGGGAAAAGTGGAAGGGTTTCCCCTGGAGGTGGGGTGGCTTCTCAGGACACCCCAGTACCTTTCACAAATTACACCTTCGCTTTCCTTGAGGTATGTCAGAAGAAGGCTCTGGGTGTGTGTGTGGGGGGGGATGGATGTGTGTGAGTGTGTGGATGTGTGTGTGTGGTGGGGAAATGACTTTGAGTTCCAGCAGCACAGTGTTGGATCTCCAGGGTTACTGTGGTTAGTCATCAATGCAAAGCTTGTATTTTCAGCTCTCCTTATGGAAACAGCTAACTCCAAGGTCCTATAGAGGAGACTTTTTCTTTTTTAAACAGAAGAAGAAACGTTTGGGAGTCCATTTAAGTCAAGGCCTATGAAGATATAGTTTCAAAGCCCTTGAGAATCTCTCTTCACTGAATTGCAATTTCTAGGATAAGAATAAATCAAATGACTAAAAAATTTGTCGAGATTTTATTGGTTTGTCTTTTATGTGAATTCAGGTTGGTAAGGATTTGGTTATGGACTGTGAAAGATCCCAGCAAAATATACTGGAGCCAAATCCAGAGAAGTCTTTAATTCTTCTTAAAGGAATAAGTCAAAATTGGGCTGTAGCCCAAGTAAGGAAATGAATTGACTCGGTAGATCTGATGTACTAATAAGGTTATACATTTTTCTGATTAGAGACCCCTGTTTCTCAGAGGGCTTCATTTCTCCCACATCCTTTCTTTTCTCCTCCCTCTCATTAGCTTCCTGCTGTTTATTTTTGTATCTGTCATCTTTCTCTCTTGTAGTATTTGTGGGCCCTGTTTAATATTTAAACCATTTTGGGGGCCTGTTTTCCCATTTTATAATAGCACTTTCTTTCCTGCTCATCTGAGCCCCTAATTCCTCTCCATATTTTCTGTGGTTTTGACCATCTCAGGGCTGACATGGTCTCCTTAGCTCACTTTGACTTTTCTGCGGTTCTTATCAGAGTCAGTGCCACTTAAGCAGTTTTTACAGTAACAGTTTTCTTTTCATTGATGATATTAATCTCTGGGTCCAGTAGCCCTTTTCTGTTAAGTGTCAGCTTCCTGGTGTTTAATTTGAGTACCTGTCTGTTGAAAACAGACAAGAAAGTTCTTGTTATTTTTATTTTGAAATGTGCAAAACCCAATAATAACTGTTACCTTCTCACTCTTCTTTAAATGGTTTTTCAATTACATTTATTTTAAGTTGCCTGAATTAAGCAGAGCATGGAGAGCAATTTAACTTTCATTACTTTGGGTTCTAAAACCCTACATATCAGAGAATGTGTGCATGCTAAGTCGCTTCAGTCGTGTCCAACTTGTTGCGACCCCATGGACTATAGCCCACCAGGATCCTCTGTTCATGGGGATTCTCCAGGCAAGAATGCTGGGGTAGTTTTCCATTCCCTCCTCCTGATCTTCCTGATCTTCCTGACCCAGGGATCGAACCCATGTCTCCTGCATTGCAGATGGGTGCTTTACCTGAGCCACGGGGGAGGCCCATATAAGAGAATCAGTTCAGTTCAGTTCAGTCGCTCAGTCGTGTCTGATTCTTTGCAGCCCCAAGGACTGCAGCACGCCAGGCCTCCCTGTCCATCACCAACTCTTGGAGTTTACCCAAATTCATGTCCATTGAGTTGGTGATGCCATCCAGCCATCTCATCCTCTGTCGTCCCCTTCTCCTCCTGCCCCCAATCCCTCCTAGTATCAGGGCCTTTTCCAATGAGTCAGCTCTTAGCATCAGGTGGTTAAAGTATTGGAGTTTCAGCTTCAGCATCAGTCCTTCCAATGAATATTCAGGACTGATCTCCTTTAGGATGGACTGTTTGGATCTCCCTGCAGTCCAAGGACTCTCAAGAGCCTTCTCCAACACCACAGTTCAAAAACATCACTTCTTCGGTGCTCAGCTTTCTTTATAGTCCAACTCTCACATCCATACATGACCACTGGAAAAACCATAGCCTTGAATGGGTACGTGTATATGTATGGCTGAGTCCCTTTGCTCTCCACTTGAAACTGTTACAACACTGTAACTTGGCTATACTCCATACAAAATAAAAAATTTTAATAAAGTAAAACCCCACACACCTGTCCTTCTGATGACTCCTGGTGAATTTTCTGTTTCCTTCCTCATCTTGCCTTAGTTAACTGACCTTGTGCTTAGTTGCTTGGTCATGTCCGACTCTCTGTAGCCACGTGGACCTTAGCCCACCAGGCTCCTCTGTCCATGGAATTCTCCAGGCAAGAATACTGGAGCCAGTTGCCATTTCCTACTCTAGGTGATCTTCCCGATCCAGGGATTGAACCCACGACTCTTGCATCTTGATTATTAAACATTCTGCTATGTATTTTGCAGGAGATGGAGGTGAGGAGAACAAAACATTGTGTTTTAGAAATGTTCAATAAACCTTGAATTGGTGTTAGTGGTATGTTTTACGTTCTCAGAGTAGGCAGTTTGTAGCTGAGGGCTTCTCCTGGGTGGCCTCTGGGTAAGAAGCTTGCCCACATTAACAAAACTGAGCTTTGGCTGACAAAATTGGGGGTTTCTCTGCCCTTATGAAGAATTTTACATAAATTGGGCCAAAGGTATAGTCGACCACCCTTTTCCTTAAAAATAATTGAAAGAGAAAATTTTGTTATTTTAATGGCAACCCATTCTGATGGCTCCCCATTCAAGAGCGCTCTTAATATTGGTTACAAATTATTCTTGCATGAATTTATATGCGGTTTCCTTGTCTCTTCCTAATGACAGCAAGAATGAGCCTGAACACAGAAAATCATCAGTAGTCTTAGAGTGGTTTTCTGCCTCTACCTTTAAACCTATGTGTAGGCATTTAACCAAGGGAACTTAACTTCTGTCATTTCCCCATCTTCCTTAGCACTCCTTTCACTGAGGGAATGGAAGCTTTCTCAAGAGATTCTTTTGGCTTCTTAAACAAATTGCATTTGTGGTTAACATTATGATATCAGAAGCCTGAGTCATGAAAATGGTACTTGGAGATGGAAAACATATGTCGGTGTCAGGCTAACCATTCCCAGAACTGGATGTCAATTTTATATGCTGTCTGCTCAATTTGCTAAGATGGCAAGAAACCGTTTTTACTGGAAGTGTCTACATTGTGCATGTGTGTGTGTGCACGTATGTGTACATGTGCATCTTCTTTGTTGAAACTGTATGCTCAATTTTCAAATTTGAAATACGATATCAAGAGACACTAAAATAGAATATAACTTATCTCACTGATAAACCCTAGTCCTCTTGCTTCTTTTTTTTTGCAAGAAAGAGTACCTGCCTAATGCTAAAGTCTAGTACTTAAAGTATGAACCTTATCTTATCATGCTTGTGTCCTTGCTGTTTAGTCACTCTGTCACGTCTGATTCTTTGCAACCCCATGGACTGCAGCGCACCAGCCTTCCCTGTCCTTCACTGTCTCCCAGAGTTTGCCCAAACTCATGTCCATTGAGTCTGTGATGCCATTCAACCATCTCATCCTCTGTCGCCCCCTTCCCCTTCTGCCTTCAATCTTTCCCGGCATCAGGGTCTTTCCCAATGAGTCAGTCTGGTGGTCATACCTGTAGGTGAGTCATTTCAACAGCAATCAAAAGAAGCTGGAGACAGTCTTGACCTTAGGCCACCTGTGTGTTACTGTGGCCTTTTGCTGGTTCTACTTTGTACTGTTGGACTTACAGACGCATGTTTAGGAGCATTCAGTTGTTCAGGCTGAATTCCACTGGCAGATGAAGGACTAAAAATGATCTAAGAACACTGTAAGGAGAAACAGTTCTACTGGAGAAACGAAAAGGAAGTTTAGGGGGATGGTTGGAAAGAAACTATACAAGTGGCCCGCGTGGGGGGAAGGGAGAAGGGGCTGCCTCGGAGGGGCAGCAGGTGTGGTGGGGAAGAGCATGCTTTATAGCGGACTCCAGCCTGCTCGCTGTGTGACCCTGGGGTCACTGCCGAACCTCCCTGCACCTCAGGTTTTGCATCTCTGCAAGGAGACCTGTGATGATGCCTACTAGATGCCCATCGGTATGTTTCATCAGAAGAGAATCTGGAATGAAACAAGGGTTCACTGACTATCAGCCACGGTTTATTATCACCAAAAGTGCTTCTAGTTGCACTGTCTAGAAGGTAACCGCTAGCCACATGGGGCTATCATCGGCTTGAAATGTGGTTGGTCTGAACTCAGATGCGCTGTTCAGTGTGAAACACACACACAATTTCAAAGACAGTACAACACAATGTGTAAAATATTAATAGGTACTGTATTCCATATATGTTGAATGATGCCTTGGATATACTGGGCTAAATAAAATATATTGTAAAGATTAATTTCACTTTCTTTTTACGATTTTCGTGTGCCTACAAGGATATCTTGCACGACAGACGTGGTTTACACTGTATTTCTGTCGGCCAGCACTGATTTAGTTGCCTCCCTCGATGTGGCAAGGCCAGAGCAAGAGAACCAAAATCCTCGATCTTGCTGGGAACGGCTGTCAGGCCTGGCCTTGCAAGCATAAAAGGTGATGCCTAAACTCGGAGATGGTTTGGCAGACCTGAAAGAAGTCTGTCATCACATATCCATTGCACACACTCATGGACAGGGTGCCATGCACTATGAATGGATTTCTTTTAATGAATCCTGGAAATACTGAGAATAGTACAGTTATGACATTTATGTAGTTGTTGAAAGTTCAAGTGTTTTCACTGCAAATATTTAAATATATTCCAGTTTTTTTCAACTGTTTTGTCATTTCTTTTTTGACTTTTTTAAGCTGTTTGAGCTTTAGAACATGGCAATGGCCTGGCCTCTCTGTAACCCTGAGAAGCCATCCCAAACTTGAGCTTGACATACATAAACAGACTGAGTTCTGGTTGTCTTAAGGAATATGTATGTCCTTTAAAAAAAATTATACTATATTTGATTTACAATATTGTGTTAGTTTCAGATGTATGGCAAAATGATTCAGTTATACCTATATGTTCTTTTTCAGATTCTTTTACATTGTAGGTTATCATAAGATATTGAATATAGTTCCCTGTGCTATACAGTAACTCCTTTTTTATTTTATATATAGTGGTGCATATCTGTTAATCCCCCATTCCTAATTCCCCCACCCCTTTCCCTTTCGTAACCATAGCTTTGTTTTCTATGTCTGTGAGTGTTTGTATTTTGTAAATATGTTAATTTGTACTATTTTTTAGAATCCACGTAAAAGTGATGTCATATAATGTCTGTCTGTCTCTGCTTGACTTAGTGTGATAATCTCTAGGTCCATCTATGTCACTGCAAATGGCAATATTTCACTTTTTATGGCTGAATAATCTTCTTCTATATATATATATATGTGTGTGTGTGTGTGTGGGGGGGGTGTATGTATGTGTGTGTGTTTGTATATTTTTATATAACATAGTCTATATCCATTCATCCGTTGATGGACACTTAGGTTACTTCCATGTCTTAAATATTGAAAGTACACATATGTTCTTAATTCATTTTTAAGCCATATATTTTATGTGGTCTGAAAATATATTAGTTTTCAAAAGAAACTAAAAAAAACCCAAACCCCACAAAATGGGGAAGATCACACTCCTGAAAGGAAAGAAGTTCTTTTAAAGTTTCCTTTGGTTGTCCTGAGGTCTTGTCATTGTTGGGAGGAGGTGGGTGGTCCCACCACAGAGATGGGGTATCTCTAGGGAGGGTCCTGAGGGTGAGCAGCTGGGCTGGCCTCTCCGGCCCGGACAGAACGTATTTGGGGGAATTTGGTTGTGGCTTTGACTTGGCTTGATTTGGTTTTATTCTCCCTTATTTTTTGCAGTGAAATACGAGGAGCTATACTGCTTTTCATTCAACCCCAAGCTGGATAGAGAAGAAAGGGAGCAAGGCTGGATGCTGATCGATCTCAGCGAGGAATACAAGCGAATGGGCCTCCCTAATAATTATTGGCAGCTCAGCGACATGAATAGAGAGTATAGGGTGAGTGGAGGCATTTGGTGAAACGAGGGCTTAGCTGCTGAGTCACGTCCAACTCTTTGCGACCCTTTGGACTGTAGCCCGCCAGGCTCCCCTGCCCATGGGGTTTTTCAGGCAAGAATACTGGAGTGGGTTTGCCATTTCCTTTTCCAGGGGATCTTCCCAACCCAGGGATTGAACCCGCGTCTCCTGTGTCTCCTGCATTGCAGGCAGATTCTTTTCCCATTGAGCCATGGGGGAAGCCCATTTGGTGAAATGCAGATACTTAATCCAGATGAAGCCCTGATGTCACAGAGCTGAGCATGACTTCTGTTAGCTCTCCTTTCATTCCAACAGCTCTTTGTGGGCACAGATGTGTGGGTTTCCAAGTCTCCCTTGGGTATTACCAGCTGTATATTCACCAGCTGTATATTCTCCACCTGCATCTGGGATCGGAAAGTTTGCAGAAGCCACCCTAGAGACCATCCCCTCCGACAGCTGCAGGAGTGGAACCCCAGAGAGGCCCAGCAGCACCCTTGGGGCAGCACCTCCCTTCTCCTGCCTGGTCTTTTTATAGCTCAGTGAGTGGTGAGCAGGGAGGCGCAGAGGCTCTGATGGCAGTTTGGCACCAGCTCCTTCTGGGCTCCCTGAACTCTTGATTGGTACACAAGGTCACCAAGAGGCTTCCCTGGGGAACCGTGGAGAAGCATGTCTGCACTTCCAGAGGGAATGGGCGGTGGAGGGGTGTTGGGGGGAGCAGAGCTGATTCATGTTCTCCCCGAGGGTGGGCTTGCACAGCAGGACTGGTTTCCCTATTAATTTTTAAAGTGTTTCCAGTAATGAAGGTACAGTCAGAACATTGTAGAGAATTTGCAAAAGAGAGAGAAAAAGGAACAAAACAGCCCATATCTCATTGCCCTAATGTTCTTCTCTGCGTATGTGTGCTCAGTCATGTCCAACTCTTTGCTTGGAGAAAATCCCATGGACTGTAGCCCACCAGGCTCCTCTGTCCACGGGATTTTTCAGGGGCAAGAAGACTGGAGTGGGTTGCCATTTCCTCCTCCAGGAGATCTTCCCAATCCAGGGATCGTACCCAAGTCTCTTGCATAGACAGGCAGATTCTTTATATCACTGTGCCACCTGAGAAGCCCATATTCTTCTAGTAGATTTTAAGCTTCTCACTTTTTTCTCATCTGCGTAGTTTAATAACTTTTTTCTTACACGAGTAATGTATTTCATTGTTTACAGTTGGAGATTGTGGAGGCAAAGGGACGGTTCAAATACATACAACAAAAATGGAATTACACTAAGTATGTTGCTGTCAATAAATATGTGGAAGGTCAGGTCCTCCCACATCTTTCTTCTGAATAACTTTTTATTTTATTTATTTTCGGCTGTTCTGGATCTTTGCGGCTACATGGGCTTTTCTCCCCTTGTGGTGCCAGGGCTTCGCATTCCGGTGGCTTCTCTTGTTGGGGGGCACAGGGTCTAGAGCGCGAGGGCTTCAGGAGTCGCGGCTCCCGGGCTCTAGACCACAGGCTCGAAAGACCTGGCACGCCGGCTTAGATGCTGTGCCGCACGTGGGATTGTCCCAGATCAACGATCGAACCTGTGTTTCCTGCACTGGCGGGTAGCTTCTTGGCCACTGAGCCAAGGGAAGCCAAGGGAAGCCTTCTTCTGAATATCTTGAATTTATAGATTATTTGGAATAGAATGGCCACTTTCAGGCTACTGACTTCTCTTCCTAATCGCACTTAAATCTAGCAGTCATAATCTTACACTATGAGCAGACATTTGCGTCCTTTCTGCCTTAACCATTATAAAGTATCCGGCTAATGTAATGATTTGTTCCGATGCTAAAGCCGACCTTTGCAGTAGATGTTTAGCCTTGAAATGAAGGAAAGGACTTCCCTGGTGGTCCAGTGGTTAAGAATCCTCCCGCTAATGCAGGGCACACAGGTTCGATCCCTGGAAGGTGTGGGAGGCTTCCACGTGCCTTGGCGCATCTAAGCGCGTGCGCCACGACTGCTGAGCCCACCAGTCGCAAGTGCTGGAGCTCGCCCTAGAGTCTGTGCTCCGCAACTGAGAGGAGCTCCGGCTCGCCGCAACTAGAGAAAGCCGGTGAGCAGCCACGAAGACCCAGCTCAGCCAAAAATAAATAAATAAATAATTGGTTAAAAAAAAAAAAAAGACACGCACAGAAATGAAGGAAAACCCAAGTTTAATATAGAAAATTGGATAATTAAAAATTTTTTTAAAAAACATGACACACCCTTGGGTGAGGGTGAAAATGAGGCTCAGCTGCATCTGTGGAATAGTATTTCCTTGGAAACACAGGTTCTTCTTATGTCTGATGAGGTTTCCTTCTGGACTTAGCACCACAAACATGACTCACGTTTAGTCACTCAAGTCCTACCGTGTAGAGACTGCAAAACATGAGTTACTCAGCTTCTTTTTTCCAAAAGTGATAGATAGCAAACGCAAACTAACAATCATCAAATTGTGCTGAAACAGAAAAGGTGAAAACCTAGGGGATATTTCTGATTTTTACAAATGTTGTTGAAATGAGAGAAAGATGACGAACCCTTATTTGTCACCAGCTTAGAAAATATAGTAAAAGTTAATTCTGTCAAACTATTTCTGACTAATAGTCCATTGGGAAGGTTATGTCATCACCCATTACTTTTGCTTTTAACCTCATGGGCGAGAAAAACATCTGCTTTTTCCTTCCTTCTTTTACAAGAGTTACTTCTTTCTTTTCACAAATTCCTTGATGGGGCTAGTGGTGTCGTCTGATGGATAAGAAGCTATTACCTCTGGTACGCAACAACGTGGCGTACTGAAGCTGAGCTTCCAGAACCAGCACTGCCCTGTTCTCTCCAAGCTAATTATCACCAGCATCATCTCTATCAGCATTGCTCTTATCCCTTTTTATAAGACATTTGCTTTGGGTAGTCTCTCTAAGCTCAGATTTCCTTCTATTCCTAACTCTTTTTTTTTTAAGATTTTTTTTTTAAATGTGGACCATCGTTAAAGTCTTTATTGAATTTGTTATAGTATCACTTCTGTTTTACATTTTGTTTTTTTTCGCCACAAGGCACGTGGGATCTTAGCACTGTCACCAGGGATCGAACCCCTACCCGCTCCCTGCATTGGAAGGCGAAGTCTTAACCATTGGCCTACCAGGGAAGTCCATGTACCTAACTCTTAAAATGGTCTTTCTTTAAATAAAATAATTGGCATTCATTACCAGGTTAAAATTTTAATCTGTTTCTCTTTGAATAAAGTTGAAAGTATAATCTAAACCAGTAATTTTTAAAATCTTGTTTATGTCAGTTCTCTACAGCTATAGTTTATGTATTATGTATTATTTTATTTATATATAAATCATTTCATGCTTCTCCTACTTTACATTGTAAATTTCTCCCTATTACATCATTAATTCCTTGAAGTACATTTTAGGTCCTAAATGCTTAAGAAGACAGCTATCTATGTAGATATAGCACAGTTCCTGGCAGCTAACTCTCATCCCGAAGTGCTTGGCTGTGTGACGGACCCTCAGGAAGTCCAGAGGTCTGATTATTATGCCATGGCTGGCCCCTCAGATGGATACTACCCTGCAGTGGTAAATGCATTTATTGGGAGGTGGTAACCAGGGCAACCAGGATCAGTCTTTCAGGGAATGTGAGTCTTTGGGGCCAGTAACTCTTGTTATTCATTATTGCCCTAGCACCTAACCTAATGCCTAGCACATAGTACATCGTGTTCAGTAAAAATTTGTTGATAGACATCAATATTCTGTTATAGTCAGCACACTTTTAAGAGACTAGAACTTAATGATTCCTGCCACTGAAAAGAAAAGATGATCATGTAACATGATAGAGGTGCTAATTGTCACTATGATGGCAATCATATTACAGCATAAAAATATATCAAATTAATATGTTCTACACAGGAGATGGCAAGAATGGACACCAACATTTTAGGAATCAGTGAACTAAAATGGAATGGAATGGGTAAGTTTAATTCAGATGACCATTATATCTACTACTGTGGGCAAGAATCCCTTAGAAGAAGTGGAGTAGCCCTTATAGTCAACAAAAAAGTCCGAAATGCAGTACTGGGTGCAATCTCAAAAACAATAGGATGACCTCTGTTCATTTCCAAGGGAAACCATTCAGTATCACAGTAATCCAAGTCTATGCCCCAACCACTAATGCTGAAGAAGCTGAAGTTGAACGGTTCTATGATGACCTACAAGACCTTCTAGAACTAACACCCAAAGAAGATGTCCTTTTCATCATAGGGGACTGGAATGCAAAAGTAGGAAGTCAAGAAATACCTGGAGTAATAGACATGTTTGGCCTTGGAGCACAAAATGAAGCAGGGCAAAGGCTAACAGAATTTTGCCAAGAGAACCCACTGGTCATAGCAAACACCCTCTTCCAACAACACAAGAGACAACTCTACCCATGGACATCACCAGATGGTCAACACTGAAGTCAGATTGATTATATTCTTTGCAAGTGAAGATGGAGAAGCTCTATATAGTCAGCAAACAAGACCAGGAGCTGTCTGTGGTTCGGATCATGAACTCCTTATTGCCAAATTCAGACTTAAATTAAAGAAAGTGGGGAAAACCACTAGACCATTCAGGTATGACCTAAATCAAATCCCTATGATTATACAGTGGAAGTGATAAATAGATTCAAGGGATTAGATCTGATAGAGTGTTTGATTAACGATTAATGGAGGTTCACTGTAGAAGAGGCGGTGATCAAAACCATGTCCAAGAAAAAGAAGTGCAAAAAGGCAAAATGCTTGTCTGAGGAGGCCTTACAAATAGCTGAGAAAAGAAGAGAAGCAAAAGGTAAAGGAGAAAAGGAAAGATACACCCATCTGAATGCAGAGTTCCAAAGACTAGCAAGGAGAGATAAGAAAGCCTTCCTCAGTGATCAATGCAAGATCACGAATGGGAAAAGACTAGGGATCTCTTCAAGAAAATTAGAGATACCAAGGGAATA